CCCAGCCCTGGCCTCTTGAGGGGACCTGTGGGTGGGCAAGGCTGAGACCTGGGCAGGCTGAGGCAGCCGCAGTAGCTGTTCCCAGGCTCCAGGGGGCTTCCGTGGCCAGGCCCCTGCACTGGGGACGGCTCTGCCCTGCCTGCACTGTGCCCAGCATGCAGGGAGGTTAATCCTGGAGAGGGAAGCTCCCTGAGCTTGGCATCTTGCCTCAGCCCATCCCTGAGGAGCTGTGTGGGCTGAGCCAGGCCCCACCACAGGTGCCTCTGGGCGCCCCCACCTACCTGCCCACCACAGATCGAGCCTACAGAACCCTGCGGCAGCCCCCACCTTCCTAAGGGCCCGACCATGCTGGCTTGCCTGCGGTGCCTATTTTCCACCCCCCACCCCTGCTGCACAGACCTTGTCCTGAGCGCCTAGCCCCAGCACTCAGCATCTCAGTGCTGCCCTGGGCGGGAGAGGGCATCTGCCTGCCTGGGCACCTCCCTCCAGGGGCCAGCTGGGCTAGAGGGTGCAGCCTGGGAACATGGGGCAGGGGGCAGTAGAACAGACACCTTCCTGCCTGCATTCTTCTGGCTCCGCCCCAGGTCCTGCTGTGGTGCTGCGACTTGTGGCTGCACAGGAGAGCCCAGAGCACCAACTTTTATAAAACCCCAATTTCTTTGCGTGCCTGCTGGTGTGCCAGAAAAAATGTCTCCATGTGCCACTAATGGCACATGTGCCAGGGGTTGCTGACCCCTGCCCTATAGCCAGGGAACTCTGGGTTTTAGTCCCCCTCGGAGCACTAGTACACCCCTGTCAAGGGGATGGTGGAGAATTATTCCCAGCTCCACGTGGCAAACACCAAAGACCAGAAGCATGGGAATACCCACTACACGGCACAGACATAGCTAGTCCTAGTTAATAAATAACCAATATTGTCCAACCTCTTTTTTGAAGATTTCAAATTTATGGAGGTGCAGGAAGTTCTGGAATCTCCATTGTGACATTAAAGTCCCTGCCAAGGACCAGGCAGTTGTGAGGGCTCAGATTGCCAAGATAGTTGACTATCTGGCCATAGAATTGTGGGGCATACTATAGTGGGGTATGCCTCCAGGGGTGGCTGTGGCACCCTCTCGTGTCTGAATTATCCTGTCCTTGCCTAGTCTCACCTGGTATCCCAGAAGCTGCTACCTAACCCTGCCTACCGTGCCAGAATGTTGTTATAAAGCAAAGGAGACTGGCCTCTGGGAGAAGAATGAGTTCTTAGGTGCCTCTTCCTCTTTGAGCTTCTCTCTCTACCTGGGTCAAATTGCTTCTTGGTGTACTCACCATAGGCGGAGAGAGAAAAATCATTTGGGAAGGGTGGGGAAAGGGTTGAGTGCATGCATGCCTTCCAGCAGGTAAATCTGTGGTGGCAGGGGTGAGGGGAGGGTAAAAGGCTGTGCTGGGACCTTTATCTGTCCCCTCCCTCCAGTGAGGGAGGGAGCAGGGCACAGGCAGGGGCTGGGGTGAATGGGGCTCTGGCCAGTCTGGGTGATGGGACAAGAAGAAGCCTGTGGGGGCATGTGCCGCCCAATCTGTGCATGGGGTGGAGGTGGTTGCTGCTGTGCACTGGGCTTTGAGCCCCACTGCCCGGAGATCCATGTGATGCCATGTGCGTCCCACTGCTGGGCGGGCAGGGGGTGCAGTGCAGCTGCAGTAGGAAGCAAAGTACAGCATGCAGCTGCTGCCACCTCCACCCCGCACACAGATCAGGGGGCATGTGCCCTCTGGGCTTCTGGTAGTCCCACCACTTGGCTTGGCTGGGGCCTCACTTTGTCCAGCCCCTGCTCCTACCTGTGCCTCACTCCCTCCCTCACCGCTGGGGCCTCGACCTGCTTTCCCCTGCTCCCCCTCCACAGCGGTGAGGGAGGGAGTGCAGCCAGGGCAGGGTGTGGGACGGATCTGCGAGTGGCTTGTCCAGGGGGCATCTGGTGCAGGGAGGGGGTGGCAGCTGCTGCTGATGCAAGCACCATGGGGGTTGTGTGCCCCTAGATTTGGTGAGAGTGGGCTGCCACTGTGGGCTTCCCTGCAGGTTTGGGCTGGGCTGGGCTGTGTTCAGGATGGGCAACCCTGGGAGGGAGGGTCAGGGGAGCTACAGTGAATTTTGGGGTGGCTGCAGCCCCTCCTCCCCAAAGCCCCCCTCCCAGTACTGCTGCCACCCACCCTGAGCATAGCCTGGCCCAGCCCCTTTACTGGGGGGAGCCTGGTGCAGCCCTGGTCCCAGCTCACAGTGGCAGCCTGCCCTGCCCCACGTGCAGATCCAGGGGCACATGCACCCTATGTCTTCTGGAGTGCATGTAGCAGCAGGAGCCACACCTCCCAGACAAGCTGCTCATGACTCCATCCCATACCCCTTCCCAGCTGTGCAATGTCTACTCCAGTCTCAGCCCCACTCCCTCCCTCCATGTGCGCTCCTCCCCACCTCTGCTGCAGTCACTGGAAGCCTGCAGCTGGGCTGCCTTGTGGCCCTAATGCTGCCCCATGTTTGGGGGGGCTAAGACCCATTAGCCCCACCCTTCTGCTGCCTATGGTACCCACCCTTATACTGTTCTCCGGGCCCTTGCCCTACTTATGTAACTTGGGGCCACACCTGATGCTTCTAGCTGTGACTTTCAGCCTTCTCAACAGCCATACCCATGCCTTATGGATATCACTCAGTCTCCATTCATGAGGGCCTTCTGGCCTGAATGATAGCTTTTGCTCACTTGGGCACTAGCAACTACCTTGGCCTCAGCCTTTTCACCCAGGCATCATCCCCTTTTGCCCCTAGCCCACTTGTATTGGGCTGTAGGCCGCAGCCTTAGTTCACTCGCCTTGGCCTCAGCCTACCTTGCACTCCAGCTCCAAGCAGGGCTCAAGATGCAGAGTGGTCCAGGCACCCTGCTGTGTGGCCTCCCAACCACCCCTTATAGCCACTACCAATCTACTAACAAAGCTCAGCAAACTGCTAACCAAAAGGTCTACCTCGTCCCAGCCAGCAGAAATTAATCTAAAATATATCTTGCTGTATGAACAGAAATGGTCTGCCAAAATGCATTCCGAACTCATCTGGTCACACTCAACCACCCAGAAGGAAACTTTTGTACCTCCAGCTAGCAACCCCACCTGCTCCCAGGGTACCTGGTCTCCTCCTGAGCCTGAATATACCCACTCTGGAAGAGAGCTCCCCGTGACACTCCAGATCAAAAAGTTCCTGCTTCTCTAGGGTAAGATTGTATGCTGCTCAGTTCCACTTGTGCTAGTCAGAGCTGACTCTTACTTGCTAGCTCTGGCATAGGGGCTTTCTATTACCCACTCTGTAGCCTCACTTACTTCTAGCCAGTTCTAACAAATTCAGTCCCACACCTCTAGATTGGTCTCTCTTCACTCAGGAACTCCTGCATCAGCAAGCAGACTCTAGCTTGTTCACAGCCTCATGGCAGCCTCTGGTAAGGCAACTTGCCTCTCCAGGTGACAGGAACTTGCCACACTGTCACACGAAATCCAAGCACAAGTCAAACACAAACACACACCACAAGTCAGAATAGAAGAATATCTGGTCTTCAAAACGCAGCCAAAAAAATTCCTAAAGGTCAGAGTATGTGTGTGGCATGGGCCAAGGGGGCTGGATAGCCCAACCATGGAATTTTTCAGTTTTTTTCAAAAAAACCCAAAGATGCTTTGGCCTTACCAAGAAGGACCCCAGGAGCTCTGAACTCATCCCTGATGCCTATCAAGCACATCAACAAGGCCCAGAGCTATGAAATGAGTGCATCTGTTCCCTTAGCCAAGAAGAGAGGAGGTCATCAGGTCAAGGCTCAAACAGGACTTTGGGCACAGGAGCTTGGCAAGCTAGCCACTATGGAGGCAGGCCAGGGGCTGGGGCTAGTGTTCTCCCCCACCTGGCTGGCTGGGAAGGTTTGCTGGGCAACAGGCTGGGCCTCAGGTGCAACTTGTGGCCCCAGCCAGTTTGACAACACCC